CAAAAGAACCTCCCACTTTTCCTTAATAAGTAGACAAGGCTGGCTTATCATAAGCTTATCTAGTTCTACATGTCTACTCTATACCCACTTTCCTGAACCATTTTCATTGTGAGTTATAATTCACCATCTCAGGTTATCATTAGGGGGAAATGACAGCAGCACAGTGTTCAATATATTGTACTTTCGGTATCTAAATGATACAATGTTGTTTACATTGCTCATGAGGACAGACCACCTTATTTGCAGATTCTTGAAATTGTAATTTAATTTGTAATTGATTGTGGATTTTGTATCCAGTTTTCACTTTATGTATCTTTATACAATGTTTACTACTTTGCTTATGAGGACAGACAGCCTTATTTACAGATTCTTGAAATTCAATTGTAATTTCATTTGTAAATAGTTACATTCATGTGGATTTATCCAGTTTGCACATTTGTATGCATGCACTTATAGGTGCATTTATTGTTGTTGAAGGCCTGGCTGTTACAGTCTTTATTTACACTATTTTGTTGTAGGCCTACTGGCCTAGATGTTTTTGCAGTTTTAAAGCACCTTGGCTTTGTTCTGAATGCACTTTGTTGTAGTTATCCTACAGAGAAAAGAAAATGTACTTGACTTGGAATTAATGTACTCATTCAAAAGTGCTGAATAAATGTTTTACGGACCCATAATAGTGATTATTATTTAAGTTAAGTTTTGCCATAATCAGGTAGCTGAACAACATTGGTAAAAAATGTATACAATATATATATTTCTATTAATTATTTTCAGCCTTTCGGCATTCGGCCAAGAATTACCCATTCGGTGCACCCCTAATTTTAACTAATATAGACAACTCAGCATTAAGTTATTCATTTTTTTAAACGTTTCTGGCGATAAAAACAACAATTTATAGATGGTCCCTAAATGAGTGTACGCGGGTTAAGTACGAGGGCTACGAGGTTGAGCTTCACCGTCTTCTTGCTGCCAACTTCGGTGGAAACTGCAAGACGTCGAGTCGCTGGATGCGGCAGTCGAATATCCAACTTAAAACTATACTTCACCGCGGTGTCTAAGCTGCCAACATTTAAACAGAGAGCATATCTTTGGGTAACCAGATGTGTCACATCGTGCTTTGTATACTCACTTGAAACGATATCTTGTTGCAGGCGTGTGTTTACTAATGAAGTAAAGACTTGCTACTAGCAGAAATTATTCATTAAATTCAACACAGGGAACATTAAATTGTGTCTGCAGAGCCTTTAGACTTCCCGGGTTGCAGATTGCAAGGTAATGTTGCATTCGCGTTTATGGAACGTTTCGGAACTTCCGGTCCCCACAGCCTGTCTGTAAGAGAACTAATAGTGTATGGATTTAGACATTAAATACAAGCGCATTGCTTGAGTAATATATTTGTGTTTGTTTTATAAAAAGGAAAGTTGTTCATTAACCTCAATTAAATATATATTTTTTACTGAAACATGGCATTTTGTAAATCCTATATATAATAATAATATTTTAATGGTATAATAATATAATGCAACATAAATCCAGGCATTTTAAATATATGTTTTAGTATTTGCACAATCAAGCTCACGTTACTTCGTTCGCTCTTAGCTTCAACTAAACAGTATTTCAGAATGCTGTGCGATCTACTGCATCTTTCTTGGGGATCTTAAATGCAGCACCGTTTCCGGATGTGACGGTATGACGTAAGTGACGTCAGATTCAAGATGGCAGCGCTTGCGTCCTTGATGCTCAAGTCCAGAACCGGTTGGTATCAAACATCTAAATTACTTATTTCTACATTCCCGCATATTTACAAATTGCTTGAGAAAAATATTCATTTATTCTCAGCCGCTCCGTCACTCTGTTAACATTTGTACACGTTTTAAATGTGCTACATGCTAACTAAGCTGAGCGAGCTATTCAGTCTGTACATTAGCACTTCATGTCATTTAACCATGCATCTAACGCATACTTGATACCAGCGTAAACATCGATATATATTTTTGAACAAGAATATTACTTTTAACGTTCGTAGAGATGTACTGACGTAATGAGAAATATATTGGTAGTCAGATTATTTACTTGAGTAAAACTACTAATAGCACACTGTAAAAGCACTACATTTCAAGTAAAACTACTGCATCAAGAATGGTACGATTAAGAAAATGTGCTCAAAAGTAGTAAAATAACTCATCACTATATTTTAGAAATATATCAAAGCAAAAGCATGGAAATCTTCACATTTATCCTTGAAATATTTTTGACCAAAAAACGTCTTTGCAGAATTGATGCCAATTCATTTTCAGATAACCCACTCAGGGTTTATTGTATATTTAGTTACCTAAATATAACGTTGGATGGCTATTTCAAATAATAATTGTTGTGTGTCAAAATCTACATTTTATAAAGAAAGTAGTAAATCAATCTCTAAAATAAATGTAGTGGAGTAAAAAGTACAAAAGTGTCTTCCAAAAGGTAGAAGGGTTGAAGTATAAAATGAAAATTCTAGGGTAAAGTACAAGCTTATGATTTGTCTTCATGAGATATGGAAGCTGACCCCACATGAATGTCTGTCTGCTCCTGGGCAGGGGTTCTGGTTCCGGCTCAGACCGCTCTCCTGGACCTGCTGAGGTTTGCCTCTAAGAAGGCTGGTGGCAGCAGTAAGAACGTCGGTGGAAAAAGCCCTGGGCGGAGATATGGATTCAAGAAACAAGATGGTAATATAAATATATGTAAAATAAAAATGCTCTGTTACCTATTCTTCACTAGCCTCAAGTTACTTTGAAGTGTTTATACACCTGGTAAATGCAATCTCTTCTATTTCAAATTACAATAGCTATTGTTGTAGGGATTGAGAATGTGAAAGGAAAACACAGTGAAAAGAAGAGCTGATGCTGATGTTTATTTAAATGCCTAATGTTTAAGAGGCCTGGCAAAGTAGTCAATATTTCTTTGTGAACAACACAAACTAAAAATAAATAAAATAAATGTACATTCCCGAGAGTTTTTCAGGTTAAGGTTTCATCTACACAAACATTTCCTCCTTGTTCAAGGTTGTGGTGTTCAGTTTAAAAAGGCCTTGATTGAACTGTCATTGTGGAGGCTGCTGTTTAACAGTATTGTTTTATACATAGGGTTGTGTTTGTTACTTTCCTTTCCTAGTCTGCAAAATAATGCAGACATAAATACATATTTATAATAATACCAGAAATAAGTTGATCTATCATCTCTCTTTTTAATTTGCTCACAAGGTAATTTTGTCCATGCGGGTAACATCCTTGCGACACAGAGGCTGTTGAGGTATCACCCAGGAGCACATGTGAGTTACACTTTCTATATCAAACAATGTTGTGATGTAGTAGAAATGTACACATCTCATTGACCCTTTCCACCTGTCCTCCTTCTTTAAATCGCAGGTGGGGATGGGAACCAACAACACGCTGTTTGCTCTGGAGAATGGCTACATCAAGTTCACTAAGGAGGTGTTTGTCCCTCCCCCACGCAGCGCAGAGGCCACCCAGGTCATCACCAAGCTACCCAAAGGAGCCGTGCTCTACAAGACCTTCATCAGCGTGCTGCCGGTCCCACAGGAGGGCAAGTTTAGACTGGTGGACATGGTCTGAGGGGACTGGACTGGGTGCCCAGCTTTTCTTGAAGTTGTTCGGATGAAGAAGGATTTGTTTGAGTGACACTTTGACTGATTTCTCGAGAGCAAAGTGAATATTAAAATCATCCCAATATAGTCCAGGATATTTGTGTATAACCATAAGTTGGTGATAATCATTATATTGTTAACTGGGATTCTGCATGGTCACCCAGTACTCACCACTTTAAGGAACTATGGTTCTGTTACCATGATAATGAATATGTGCTGTATTAAAGTTTTATGTGCGAAAATCTCTAAGTGAAATTACGTGAACAGTTACATTAGTAATCTCTATGAGGGCCAACTGTAAGCACTGCAGTCCTACGTTATAACTATACTATTTCACATGAGGTTTACCTGCTGAGCTCAAATGTAGAGCAGAAATGAGTCTGCTTACCTAAATGAGCTTTAAAATCTACACACAATATTTACACAGAGGAGGAAAAAAACCCAAATGTAAGCTGCCTGCCATGATGAATGAAACGGTCAATGTCCAGACATCATGTTACTCACATTACGACAAAATGAAGTCAAACACCCTGAGCACGGCAGTGTGCCCAATTTAAAATGACTGATTAAATTAGATATGCATTTATTGTATGTGTTTCTTGTCAAATTCATCCGGTAATAGTAAAAATCAACTTAATGTGATCAAACTACATCCCCACAGTCTGTTGTAAGCACATTTACATTTTTATGTTTCCAAATATTGATATATCACCAATGTTTTTTTACTTCAACTTAGATTTTGTACTTGTTGATTCAGTTATTTAGCGTTAGTTATTATAGAAATAATTAAGATTTGAAACAAAGTTTATAAATGCTTAAATGGAAAGGCAATACCAAAACTGGCCACCAGATGTCGTACAATCCCTCAATTTGATTTCACTGTATTTGTCTTCACTTTGTACATTTACATTGCAGGTCTATTTCTTCATATACTGAAGTAACAGACGTATCTTCAAATTGATATCTCCTTGGGTTTAGGATTACTCAGTTAAAGCAAGTCTTTGTTGATTGCCATTCTTGCAGGGCTTGTGGTCTACTCTAGATATGATCAATCATTGTAGATAATATGCTGCGAATGGTACAGGCTTATCAGCAAGATGTTTTATCAGCATTCCTCTGAAAGTGGTTGACAGGGGTTATTAAATAAAAATAAAAAGTTGTATTTCAGAGGCTTGTTGTATGCAGAGGGATTGTGGGCAATGCTTTGTTCACTATAAGGGAGTTGCACCTCCGTCATGAAGCAGAACAAATGATGGATATAAAGAGTCAACTGACATGGCATCCTATGTCTTAGATGGGCAGGTTAAATTGCTGTCTGGTTAATAATAAGGACGAACTGAGGAATGTTTCCATAAACTAGAAGGGTTTCTTTGATATCTGTGACACTGTTTACGTCCTGCACAACAACAAATTGCAGTGTTGTTCTCTCTGATGCTTCCTGCTTGTGGTGAGTTTGTGGATTGTGGTTAGATTTGGGTTAGAGATGAACTCTGCTGTCATACTTTACCTCTCCATCTCAGAGTAACTGTCATAGTGCTGAGTGAGGGCAAACTTACTGTTTGCCAAAGAGACCTCTATGGGAGCAATGCTTTTTTGTAACTTAATCATACAATATTTTTACTATTGTTGTATTAATATAGACGTGTGTAGAAACACAGTTTGAAAGAAAATGTTTGCGAAACCCATGCTGCCCAGGGGTTGAGTCCTATTTATTCTGATGATTCCCTCTTTATTGTTTGGCACCATCAGCAGGTCAAAGTTGTCTTGTACCTAGTGAATATCTTAACTTGTATTTGATAGAATGGCAGAAAACTTTGTACAGATATTTATGGTTCCCGGATTATGAATATTACTGATTTATATAATCCAGGTTTTTTTTATTACAGAGATTTACCTTTATTCCTGTGTGCCTCAAGTAGTACTTTGTGTTTAGTGCTAATTAGCTACTATAATGTTAGCATGCTAATGTGGCAGTGGCCGCAGAAGAAATGTATTGATTTAACAGTAGTTTGGTTAAACCACGAAATCCGACAACGCCACCCCAGGAATTTCACCCAGGGAAATATAACAAGTTTTAAGTCACTATGACACACAGGTTTGGTTACTCGTGGAACAAGAGACGTGGTTCAATTATCAAAAATAGAACAGTTTATTTGTGTAGAATAGTAAAAATACAATTTAAAAACACTCACACAGGGCTATATCCAAAAAGGAAAACTAACAAGGGGGCTGAGGCTTACCAGTGGGGGAGAGGGTCAACGAATGAGTGGAGGGATCCCGCAAAAACAAACCTGAGTCACCCCGGTCGGTCACACGTGTTCCACACTCACACAATCACACGGAGAAAAGATCCAAAAACCCGGGGGAATTACAGCACACGGAAAGGGGGAAGCCACCACCTCGGACACCAACACCACCACCTTCAGCTCTCAGTAACTAAAACAGGAAAAAAGGGAAAACACAATAAGTGGGGGCAAAAGCACATAATAACTCAAAATGAAATAAACCAAAATTAGCCGCATGCTAAGAACGTTATCCTACCTTTCAGAAGAACATTCTGGGAACCAAACTAAAACTTCCCGCTGAAAAAGTTTTAAGAATAGTAGGGCATAATGTTCTAACAATGTTATCAAAAATATCTTAAGAAGGTTATCAAAAACATCTTAAGAAGGTTATCAAAAACATCTTAAGAGGGTTATCACCAAACATTTCAAGAATGTTTTTAAAGAACGTTATCCCACCTTTCAGAAGAACATTCTGGGAACCAAAATAAAACATCCCGCTGAAAACATTCCTAGAACAATGAATGGTAACATTCTCCGAATTCTTTGAGAACCAAAAATGTCTAGCTGGGAACTCATGCCAGCGCAAACATGCAATATCTGCTGAGAACTTATCATGAATTCCGTGCTTGTTTGTTTTTTTCCAAAGGAAAAATATGGTGACATCAGATTTTTTAAAACATCCTTTTCAAACAAATGCAACAAGTTTGTTTTTTAAAGCGCTCTAGAAATAAATCTGACGTTGACCGTGACCATGTTAATATTTGCCATAACAGGAACGTTTTATAAAAAAAGAATAACATCCTGAAAACATTTTCAGAATGTTGCTTGGAGAATGTTCTTCATTTGTTATCGTGTAACATTGAGGGAACGTTTTATAAAGAACATCTTTAATGTGTTACCCAACAACGTCCAAAACACATCCTTAGAATGTTGCAGGCAAAAGGTTCCACCTTTGTTAACATATCACATTAAAGGAACGTTTTATAAAAAAACTTTATAAAAAAATAACTTTTTCTCAGGCCTTAATAACATCCTCAAAACATCCTCTGAATGTTGCAGTTAAAACGTTATGTCTTAGTTAACCTTAAACCTTAGAGGAACATTATTTGAAATAATAAACATCCTAAAAGGTTCTTTTGACATCAGATTAAAACGTTTCTTTAAAACATTATGAGAACCTGTAGGTAATGTTGTGAGAACGTTCCCCGCTGGGAAGTCTCTCGTTTTCTCTGTACTACTAAAAAACTACCTTGCCTTGAAATTAGAAACGTTCTTTAGATAAGACTCATACGAT